TCACAGGATGGTTGTTGGAAATGTACAGGCAACCCTGTATTAGTACTTTTAAAACCTAGTGTAGTGCCTTGAACACAGCAAACACTCAATACTGTTATTTATTAATATTATTATGGTTATTGGGGCGCCTGGGTGGCTCAGTTGGTTAAGCGTCTAACTGGGGGTACTGGGAGCCCCTGTGGGGTTCCCTGCTCAGTGGGGACTCTGCTTGTCCCTCTCCCTCTGCCCCTCCGCCCACTCTTTCTCAAATAAACAAACAAAAAACAAACAAATAAATAAATAATAAAATATTTAATATTATTATCGTTATAGTTTTCCACCATGGCTGGTAGCAGCCGCCCCAGCACTCCCAAGGGTCCCTCAGACCCAGGTTCCCAGGGCCCTAGCTCCAGGCGCCTCTCCCCACGCGGCCCCTAGAGGGCGCCCGGAACTCACTCGTCCTGCGTTTTTGCGTTGGCGCCTCAGGTCTGGCTCCCACTGATGGGTGACTCCTGAAGTCGCCGCCGCCGCCGCCTCCAGCTTTTGGGTCTTGCGACTCCTCCCGAAGGAAGGGAAGATCTGTAGGCTCTGGGACTACAGGGTGGAAATGAGGGGGCAGGAGCAGCTCCCACCAAAGCCTCCCTGAGGGCGGCTCGCAGCAGTGGGGACCTTGCACCCCTTATGCTCCCCAGACCCTAACAACCAAGCACACAAAAGGAGGCCGGATTTCCATAGGCTTCTGGGAGGCAGCGGCGACCGCTGGACCTTCCGAGCCTAGCTAGGGTCCTTAGCTGGAATTCCTGGCGGCCCGCTGCCCCCAAGCCCAGCCTCAGCGTCTTGGGGTGTCGTCACCCACAGGAACCCCAGGGCTGGCAACAGAAGCACGGGCCTAGGAAATCCCCACCCCGCGCCGCCCGCGGGCGAGTTAGGCCTCCCCCCTCCCGGCAAGGGGAGGAGGGCGGGGAAGGGGAAGGGGAGTGCCCCTGGCGGAGTGGCTGCGGGGTAACCGCCTGTGGGAGCTTCATGGGGCCTGGGCGGGTGTGAGTTGGAGGGAACCGAGAATGCCCGCAGTGGAGACTGTGTGTGCGCGCGTGTGCGCGCCCAGCACCTGCACACCCGCGGCTCCCTCCCCTTGTGCAACATCACGCATCCCAGGGGTCGCACAGTGGGAGGCTGCATGTGAGGTTGCACACAGCCATGCAGGCTGTGACTGAGGAGATGTGGGTTTGTAGGCACCCCCCAACACAACGTGGGTACCCCACTGCTCCTTCCACTCACCACCCTACGCCCTCCATCGAACACACCGTCTTATTCTGCTCTGAGCTCCTTGGAAAATCCAAACTGGCTCTAGCCCTTGCTCAGTCTGTTCCTATCGGGCTCCCCAGGGTGAGGAGTCCAGGGGTGGGTGTAGGGGAGTGGTGCCGGGGCCTCCCCGGGCTGGCATTGGGCAGCCCATTCGAGCCATGCGGGGAAAGCGGAAGTACCTCCTGTTAGTTGCCCGGGCAGCGGCCTGGCTGTGGGGCTCGAAACTCTGAGCTGCTTAGAGAGCAAGACTCCGAGGGCTGTCTGGGAGTGAGTCGTGTGTGAAGGTGGGTGTGAGGAGAGCAGGGAGAGCAGAGCAAGAGAGGGGGTTTCCTCCGCATCTGGCCTGAGGGGCCCTCCAGGCAGCCCCAGGGCCCCAGCCCCCCTCCCTTCCCTTCCCCTCCCCTCCCCTCCCCATAGCGCTGAGGCGGAAGGAATACCAAGGGCTCCAGCTCTGCACAACCCGGAGGGAGGTCCCTCTTAGTAGTCTCAGACACCTGGAACATACCTTGCCCACCTGCAAGTCACACCATAAACAGGATGCCCTCCGGAGTCCTGGGCCCAGGGCAAACCCCACACCTACGACCACGGTAGGGGCGCCACAAGGCAGTGCTCAGGCCATGCCCACACAGCCCCCGAGCACAGATCGGAACAAAGCCCTATTTTAGTTAACAGGTTGAGCCAGATTCTCTGTGTACCGCAGGCCGCAGGGCACGGGCCTCTCGGACCCCAGCCCTGCCTGGGTTTCTGGGCCCCGCAGGCCGCCACCCACTCAGCCACCACGCTGGGCTGCGCCTGGTCTGAGCGGGGGCTCCGGGCTCAGTCGCCGCCGAATTTGGTCAGTGCAGTCGGCTCCCTCAAGCCAAGGAAGGAAGCGGACCTTTCTGCTCCGACAGGTTCGTGAATTCCTCTTCTTTTTCCGCATCTCTCCGCACAACTATTCGGTTACTGAATTCCTTTTCTATTCTTTGAACAGAGACCGACCATTTCCGGCAGGCGCGGTGGCAGGCCGGGAGTTGTGAGCTTTCGGCTGCGGGCAGTTGGCCCTGACTGTGACCCTCGCAGCCCCCTCCCCACCAGCCTTCGCCCCACTCGGGACCGGGTGTGCGGGTCCAGCTGCCCCCCGGCGGGCCCCGCCGCAGTCCCGGTCTTTCCCCGCCGCCGCGGCCCTCGGCCGACCCGGGATTCGCCGAGATTCGGTCCCAACGAATTCCCCGCGGAGACAGGGAAGTCGTGCGCGGCCCCTGGGTGCCGAGAGCCCCGGTACCCCGGGGGAATCTGGCACCCCTGGGACCCCTCGCCCGAGGGCCTGGGAGCGCGGGAGGGGCCCGGGAGAGCGCGCGCCCCCGGCCTCCCGCGACCCGGAGCGGCCAGAGCCAGCGCCTATCCCGGGAGCCGGAGCGCCGAGCCGGGTGGCCTCCAGCGATGGGCGCGCGGCCCCAGGGCTGGGGATCCCCGCCTGCCGGATGCCCACTTCCCCGCGAGTCCCCGACAAGCTGGACGGGGTCCGAGAGCAGTGGCGCGGAGGGGGCATTCGCCCGTATGGTTATGAGTGTGAACCCTAGCTGTTTGCGAAGATCGGGAAGCAGGAGGTACTTCGGGGAGGGGTGTATGATGCCTAATTTTGCTCAGAGTTTGTCTTGTAAGAGGGGACGAGGGGCTGGGGGCAAAGCCTGGACTTTGAAGCGGGTTTGGGGGCCCTGTTTGTGCCGAGCAGTAGCCCGCATTCCTGCCTCGGCTCCTCACCTGGACTGTCCACGGCCAGAAAGTATGGAGCAGCCTCCGGGGCCAGCAGCCTCTGGAGGGATCCTGGGGATTGGGAGGTGGGAGGAAGGCTCCAGTCTCCGCTGAGGTTCAAAGAGCCTCTGGAATCTTACAGCGGGGAGGCACTAAAGGTGCCTCTTTAAAACACAAATGAAGAAGATACCGGGCCACGCAGAGAAGGTGCCGGCCAGGCGGCTCCAGTCCCCGCGGGAGAGGAGGGATCTTCCAGACCTGCCCAGGCAGACGGAAACGAATTCGCTGGTTCCGGGAGGCCATGTCCGGATTTCTCCCGGCCAGGTCCTGGGTGTTTCAGCTGGCGCAGGCGGGAAGCCAGCTGCAGACCCAGTGTGGTGGCCAGAACCTTCTCCCCAAGACCAACACAGTTTGCTAGGGCCTTGCCTGGTCACCCAGTGGGCCTGGGAGGTGGGAGCAGGAGGTCCAGGCTTAGTCCTTTGGGCCCAGAATCCTCTTCTCCTGAGGAGATCAGGCTCCAAGGGGGCCACGGATAAGATGGATGAGCACCGCCCCTCCGTCAAATTTCCCTTTGGGCCTCCTAGGGTGTGAGGTTGTTGTGCTTTGTCCCCCTCTGGTATATCAGGTCCAGGATAGCAGCCTGGGCAGGGATGAAGGACAGTGTCTCTGATGGCACCCTCTGGGTACACACAGCTCTGTATGCCTGAACAAGACCCACACCCACTCACTTCTAGCTTCTAGCCACAAAGTTCTTTCACTCTCCCATCCCAAAGAAGGAGCCTCCTATCCCTCCACTTTATGCCCCCAGGATGGCATGTCCCCAGACCCTCCACCACCTAGCTTCTTCCAGAAAAGCAGCCCCAAATCAGTTTTGCGCACCTGAGACCGGTCTAGTGCGTGGGGGACTAGATGTTATAGGGAGCGTTGTGTACCGTGGCTGCTGTCCTGGCCCCCATAGTCCGGGTCCCTGGGAAGTCACTTACTATTCAGATCTCTCCTAGGCCAGACTAGTGCTGGGAGTGGGAAGTCCCACTTAGAGGATCCTGGCCCAGTTACTGACTCACTGTGCTCCAACCTGTGTGGCTTGCTGGGTAAGGGCCTAGAACCCTGGAACTCCTAGCAGATGTTGGTACGTCCCCCAATGTATCTGCATAGCCCACCTTAGACCCCCCCACCAGCTTTGCACCGTTACACCCACTCAGTGACAACCACACACACTCACCTGCAGGGTCACCCACAATGATCCACACTCCCCCCTAATTCACACCCCCATTGCATACTGTCACACACACATATATACAGTAAAATACACATCTCATGTATTATTACATGTCAAACATGATTAAATGTCACACATGATTACATATCACACACAATTATATTCATACAATTACAGATGATTCACAATTACAAACATTCACACATTTAACACAAACATAGATTCACGAGGAGAAACGAATAGGTACTCTCACACACATTAGCACATGATTCATACACAGTCACAAATACGGGTGGGTGATCACAATTACCCAAAAAGAAACAATCACATTCACACATGGTTACAGACGCACCACTGCAAGTTCGTGCGTACAGTGATAGTTTCGATTTGCAACTTAAGCAGAAACAAGCACTTACGATAATTGCAAACACAGTGACACGCTTGAACACGATCACATTCATTATCAGTATCATCCGACTGTCCACACCATCACGAACACACAATTCACACCCGCGACCCTCACACCCAGAGACAGCATATCCTCTAGAGCATTAGCCATCCCAGGAGAGCCTGGCACTCCTTCCTTTCCGAGGTCTGCCGCCTCTCTGCTTGTCCCCCTCCTCCCCTCTCCGCAGAGCCCGCAGGTCCTGGCCCCCAGATGTCCCTCCTGCGCAGACACCCGCGCTGTCCCAGCAGTGCCCCTTCACCCCAAGCCCAAATAGCTGCAAGTTGCTGGGCTTAGCAAGGAGCAGGCAGCCCTGACTCCGGATCCGGAGGGTTTTATTTTTTTTTTTTTCCACATAAATTACACAAGCACTTTATAAAATGGTTACACAGAAAACACCTTATAAGTGCATAACTTAAGCTCCCCTATGAACAGGATCTGGAGAAATAGGCTGAGTTTGTGTGAAAACCTGCCTGTGCATACCTGGGTGCGGCTAATGTGTGATGGGGGCCTGGCAGGCCGTGGAGCTGTTGTGTGTGGGAGAGTGTGTCACAGTGTGGCTGCAGCCTTGTGTTTGTGAGAAGTGCCATGCTGTTCACAATGAAGCTGGGTCACCCCTAGCTTATGCCTGATAGAGTCAGGGGTGTGAAGGCCATGACACTTTGCCGTAGGTCCTCTGTGTTTGACTCTAGGTGACACCAGGAGGGACAGTAAAATCACCTCTGGCAGGGCCTTTGGGTGTCGTGTGTGATGGGGAGTGGAATACAGAGGGGGTCTCCCCAGAGCAAGTTCAAATGACAGCCCATGCTGTCCTCCGAGGACCTCAGAAGCTCTTCTTCCCCCATCTCCTCTGCCTCTCTCAGTCCCACGTTAAAAATCAGAATAAAATAAAATAGACGCAAACTGGAGAGGACTCTGAACAGTTCCAGAGGGCGCAGGACCACTTAGGCATCTGGAAGGAGGTCCGTGTCCCTGTCTCCTGCGCTCTTTTTTTCTTTCCCCCATCAAAGAGGAAACAGCGTCGGCAGGAGCTCGAGGGCCGGTGCGGAGGGGCGCCGCGTTCCCCTCCCGCATGCAGTCTGAAGCGGGAGAGGGGAGAGAGTCCTGGTTCTCAGCCTCAGCGCCCCCTTGGCTGGACCTGGGCTCTCGAGGGGTGGGGCAGGCAGGCTCACTCGCAGGCCGAAGCCACCGACGTGACGCTAGTGATCTTGGTGGAGTCGTCGGACCAGGGCTGCAGGTTCTGCAGGGCGAAGAGCGAAGAGTTGTGCACGCACAGCGGGTCGGCGGGCAAGGGCTGTGCCAGACTCTTCTGGAAGGCCTCTTGCTGCAGCTGCAGGAGGATTCGGTTCGCCTGCTGCCTCTCAGCCTCACGCTCCTCGGCGGTCTGCCGCCTGTACCGGGGACAAGCCATTACCCACGCTTCGGTGTGCTCCCGGGAAAGAGCCTGGAGGAGCCCTGCTCCCGTCACGGCTCCCAACTCCCGCTTGGGCCTCTTTAACACACACCCTTATCTTGAGGGTCCTACTCCGACAAAGACTGGAAACCCCAAAAGTAAATGGAGCGCGGGTATCCCGGGGGAGCTGTGGGAAACTCCGCTAGGCCCAAGCATCGGGGGCTCTCCGTCTCCCACTAGCCTAGGATGGCGCAGCCAGGGGTAGGATGGCATCTTGCCTCTCCCCAGCTCTGCCGTCCCAAGCCTGAGGTGCCCCACCCTCCCCACCAGCCCAGGGCAGAGACAAGGGCCGGCGGATTAGGAGCTGCCTTGCCTGACCTCTCTTCTCGCCCTTTTCTCTGCGATCCTGTCGCAGGCTTCCTGCCTCCTGCGCGGAGCCCTGTGCCCTGCGGGGACTCCCGCCGGACCAGCCGCCTTCCTCCGAGGCGGTCCGGGGAGGCGATGACTCACTTATTCCATTTAATGCCTTCCCTCCACCCCGTCAACTGAGATCAAACGTCTGTCTCTAAGGTGGACAGACCTAATGGGAGTCCCGGGGGCCTCCAGAAGCAATTTGTAGGCGATCGATGAAGCCGGGCGAAGCCGGCAAGGGCCTCTCCCAGCGGTGGACTCCCGCCTCCTTCCCACCGCCCCTTCTTGCCTTTTGCTCCATGCGTCTTTCCGTCTCTCGTCTTACCCTTCTCTCCTGCATTTCAAACTGCCTGACTGGTTCTCTTCCTTTTAGGCGTTGTGTCTTTTTCTCCCATTTTCTCTCACCCGCACTCCCTTCGTTCTCTCAGAATTAAGAGAATTTGTTTGAAACGAAAATGGAGATTTAATCATCCATTGCTTTCCTTTATTATCCTAAGACTTCTCCAGGCTGCCTGGTTTTTCCTTTTCTTCCTAGGGTGGGCTATTTATCTTTGCCCCCTCCCCTCTCTCTGCCTGCCACTCTCTTGTCTTTCTCTGTGCCCCTCTCTTCCAGGGGCTTGCGTTGCTCCCTCCCCTCGCTTAGGCTGCAGCCTGGTGGGGCCTTGGGAACACTAGTGCCCAAAACCCTATTCAGCTAGCCCTTGCTACCTCTTTAGCCTTCCAGAGGTCTGAAGCCATACCCCCATTTCTTCCCCAGAGACAGGAATGGGGGGGCAGAGTGGTGGGGCAGTGGCTTCCTTTGTGGCCACGATGGCAGAATCCCAGGCAGATTCCTCGCCTTCATTCAGAAAAAGAGGAAACTCCAATTCCTTCCTCCAGCTCTAGGCCCCTCTGGCCCGGAGCTGCGGATTTCGCCCAGACCCTCCTGCGCTCTCCCCCTAAGGCCTGAACTAGCGAGAAACTTCTCAAGTGTGGAGAACGGAGTATGCGAGCCATATGTGCCAGAGGGTGCAGGAATGCAAGTGGGTGCAGCTGGAGAAAGCGCCGGTAGTTGCGGTGAATAAGTCTGCCAGAGTGTGGGACTCGCGTTACGAGAGAGAGAGAGAGAGAGAGAGAGAGAGATGTATGTGGGGGGGATTTTAGTGTGGTTGTGGGTGTGTGACGGGAGAAGGGTAAATGTGTGTGTCTCCTTCTCTCTCACCACACCCATCTGCTCCTAATTGATCCCCCTTTCAGTGGGACTCTCCAAAACCCCGCTACAGCCGGTGCGGATTGATTTTCCTCTTCCAGAGTCGGGGATTGGCTGCGAGAGGGCCGCGCGGAGTGCCTGGGGAGAGGGAGTCAGCAGGACCCAGGCCGGTGGAGCCTGGCGGCTCCGCTAGGAGCCCCGGCTGGGGCGCAGAAACAAGGCGCGGGCCATCCGGCCTCCAGTCTCATTTGGAGGAGACATCTCTGTAAGCGCGAGTTTGCGCAAACAGAAAGTCCCTCAGGACTCACTGATCCCCAAAGCACGGATTGCCTGGACTGTGCTTGAGCCCCGCCATTTCCGCAAGCAGCAGCAGAGACCAGCCGCGTCTACACCGGCACTGAGTGTGTCGGCCAGAAAGCCAAGAAGCCTCCCGTAAAACAGAGCCGGCGCTCTCCAGCCTCAGCTCGGTTGCTCCCCGTTCCCGGCCAGCCTGGCAGGGAACCGATCAGAAGCCGGCGAGTGGAGGGGGTGTGAGCGCCCCAGGAGAGACCCCGGGACAGAGAGCTGCCCGCCCAGCGCGCTCACCTCCACTTCGTCCGCCGGTTCTGGAACCAGGTTTTGACCTGCGCGTCGGTCATTTTGAGCGCCTTGGCCAGGGCTGCGCGCTCGGCCGAGGCCAGGTACTTCTGGCGGTGGAAGCGCTTCTCCAGCTCGCAGATCTGCAGGCGCGTGAAGGACGTGCGCGGCTTCTTCTTCTTGGGGGGCGTCCGGTTCTGATAGGGGTGACCTATACGGCGTGTTACAGTGAAGGGTGAGAGGGCCACTGGAGCGGGAGACAGACAGACGGCAGAGGCAAGCGGCAGAGCGTCAGGAGGCGTCCCAGGCCCGACTCCCCGCGATCAGCGAGCGCAGCGGCCAGACCGCAGGAGCGGGGCCGTGATCCTCCCGTCAGCCCTCAGCTCCAAGCCCGCGGCGGGCAACGGCCCCCTCCCGCCCGCCAGGCCGCCGCCACGGAGGCCTCTCTAGCCCGGGGCTCCCACGTGCCCAGCCAGAACCCGTGCAGTCGCCTCCCCAGTCTCCTTGAGGGGCATGTCTGAGGCGAGCTAAAGGTCGCAGGCCCCCACTGCCCCAGGCCTCCGGCCTCAGAGAAGCTGCCCAGCAGCAAGGGTCAGTGTGTGGGGGGGAGCGGGGTGGACCCTGGGTCCTGACCTGAGCCACCAATACGCAGCAACATCCCCAGACACATCACATACCACGGGGGTAAATTACAGATCCATACACCCAGTCTGACACACGGGGACAGGGACACAGGCAGACACATACAGGACAGGGGGCAACACAAGTGACAGTTATTCACTTCCTCAGAACCTTCTTCAAGCCTGAAGCAAGATTAGGGTGTGCTGTGGCTCCCCTAGGTAGGTCCTATGTGGAACCCTTTCACCAGAGACCCAAGACCAGTGGGTTCTAGGCTGAGGGTTCCATTAGAGCCCTTCAAGGCTGGCCTGGCCTGCGTTGGGGGAGTGGAATGAGCAGCAGGCTCTGCCCCCCAGGCCTGAGAAGACTTGGGGTGGGGACTGGGGTCCCTTGAGTACAGAGTCCTTCCTGGAGGCCCAGAGTAGAATGCCTGTATTGCCTCTGCTGCCCCCCCCCCCCTTTGCCACAGACCTAGCCTGTGAGCCAAGGTTCCAAGGCCGGAATGGGAGCAAGGGGCCTGGGTGCCTTGGGGTCGCCTACCTGAGAGTGTAGCTCTAAGCTGCCTATTTCCTTTCCACCATTGGGCCCAGATCCCTAGCCCCATGGGAGTCCCACGTCGCCATCCGCAGCGGCCCGTACCTCCCGCCTCCTCTAAGTCCCGGCCAGGAACCCAGGCTCAACTCGTGGTTACTTCTCAGGGGGCATGGGAGCGGGGCTGGGCGGGAGGATCGAGGATCGAAGCCTCGGATCCTAGGAGTGCTAAGGGGCTAAGTGAGGCTGGAGAAAGGGGCCCGCGCGTGAACGAGAGCTGAGTGCCGAGAGCGGAAGCGAGAGCGGAGGGAGCCGCGGCGAGCGGAGGGAGGCGCGGAGCTGGCAGCCGAGAGGGCGGCAGCCGGCCGCCGCCAAGTGCGTAATCGTCCCAGGAGTTGTCCTTCGGCCGCCGCCGATCGATCGCCGGCCAGGCCGGTGCATTATTCACACTGGAGGGAACAGGGCTGGGCCCCGAGGGGAGGACGCCATGCCACGACCGAACGAAAATGAAGCAGGAGGCTCAGCCTCACGCTGCCACCGACCTGGACGAAGCCCGCAGTCCGGGAAGAAGGGCCCGCCAGCTCTGCTGCTTTACTCAGGCTCGGGGCCTCTGCTGGGCCGGGCAAGGGCAACGGGCACTGGAGCTCCGAGCGCGAAGTGGTGTGTGTGTGTGTGTGTGTGTGTGCGCGCGCGCGCGCGCGCGTGTGTGTGTGTGTAGGGAACGAGAGGTGGGGAACCTGTTCTTTCCTTGCGTCTGATTCTGGGGCTCGCCGCCTCAGCCAGAGAACGTTGGCCGGGACGGAAGAAACAGTTTGTTCACATCGCTCCCCTTTCTCCAAGATTACCGAGCCCCAAATGTCGGCGGAAGGTAGTCCCCAAGCTACATCCCCCTTTCCTCCGCCTGACTGAGCCCCAGGGACTCCGAGAGGGGATCGGGGAGCGCTTTTCAGTGTGGGGGTCCTGCGGGAGAAACGGAGAGGGGCCCAGACTGGGAGAATTCTTCTCGAGCATGGCGATTCCGCGAGCGTGGAAAGGTGGCGGGCGGCTGCACTCGGGGGAAGCACCGAGAGGAACTGAGCAACCTGGTGCACAGAGGGGGCTGCCGGGAGCCACCGGGCGGGGAAAAGGTAGCGCAGAGCCCGGGCCGCGGCCAGGCGGGGCGCGCGCGGGCCGGACTCACCTGTGAACCTGTCCTTTGTGTATCTGCGGTTACTCTCCATCCAGGGGAAGGTGAGGCCGGTGAGGTTGTTGACACCCGGCACCGCAGGCACGGAGGGCACGGTGGGCAAGCCGGTAGCCAGAGGCTGAGGGTGGGCCACCGCTCCAGCTAGCGGCCTATGCGCCGGCACCCGAATC